ACTTTCAGTCCATGTTAACAGTGTCTTTCAGAGCTGTTGTCATTAACCTACGTTCCCTTTTGCCTAAATTAGATATACTTTCAACACTTATGTTTATGAGATCCCCCGATATTGTTTTTATCACTGAAACTTGGTGCACGTCGGAAATTAGTGATTCTCAGCTTAACATCCTAGACTATAAGCTTTTCCGCAAGGATCGCTCGCACAAACGTGGTGGTGGCTGTGCCATATATCTTCGAAATAACCTGACTGCCATTCCTGCAGATCAACCTGTGTTCATTGACTTGGAAGATACACTATGGCTAGTGATCCCATCTATTGATCTTCTAGTGGGTTGTATCTATCGGCCGCCCCGAACTACTCAATTTGCAACCCAAAAGCTAATCGGTATGATCAATGTTGCTTCCAGCACCACATACAAATCCAAAATTATGTGTGGAGATTTCAACCTACCACATGTTAACTGGACGCTGCCTACCCTCAGAAACACGGCAGAGATTGAGGAAATTATCGCATGTATCCACTTCAATGGCTGGACTCAGCATGTTAGAGAGCCAACTAGAAGTTCTACTACCTTAGACCTCGTATTCACGATGGGAATCGCGAACGTTTATACATTCATTGATAATCCACTGCCTGGCTGTGATCACAACACGGTGTTTTGTGATATGACTATTGATTTACCTAAACGACCAAGTAAAATGCTAAAACCCATACGTAACCTCCATCGTGTGGACTGGAACGCATTCAATGAACTTATCGGTACCATGAATTGGAATACGTCATTCCTAACCCACAACCCTACTGTGGCTACAAATGAGTTTATAAACAACATTGCCCTTGTTGTGGATCTACTAGCACCTACTGTAAGGAGAAATACCCATGAACATAGGGGTGAACTCAAGCTTCTGTCCAAAGCCAAAAGAAAACTAAAGAAACTCAAATCGCTATACAGCAGGAACAACAGCTTCGCAACATTGCTACAAATACACGAGAACTTACTATATTTACAATGTCTAACCCTAACAGTCAAAACCAAAGAAGAAAGCCGGGTACTCAGAAATCCTGAGAAAGTACGTGCATTGATGCAACTACTCAAAAGAAGAAACCCTAAACCACTTCAGGAAATTGAAACGTTGGTTCTAGACGATGGTTCAATAACGCGCGATATCTCCTGTATATGCGAGGCCATGAACTCTAGTTTTGCCTCCTCTTTTGTCCCCAACATTCAGCCATTTCATCCTCCACTTCCAAAAAGAACGACCGAACTATACTGCAATATCCCTGTGACGTTAAGAGAGGTGAAAAGTGCCATCGCAGCCATAAAACCATCAACTCATCCAGGTCCAGATGGCATCTCCCCAATTGTTATAAAACTCGGAGGAAAAAACCTCGCACTATTGTTACTAAACATTTTCACACTTTCACTCACTACCGGTTGCTTTCCAGCTCAATGGAAGCAATCCATTATAATGCCTAAGCACAAGGGTGGACCGAGAAATCAAATGTCAAGCTACCGCCCAATAAATCACACCTCTGCTGCTTCCAAAGCCCTAGAGCGAATAGTCAAGAAGAACATCGTCCAATATCTAACAAGACTGGATCTGATCAACCCTTCACAGCACGGCTTTCTCTCAAGACGCTCCTGCGTTACATGCCAGCTACAATTTCTCGATCACATCACGACTATGATTGACAGAGGAATGGCAATTATCATAATTCTGTTGGACATGCAAAAGGCTTTCGACCGCGTGCCACACCAGCCACTGCTGTCTGCTCTAGAGTCATATGGAATTGGAAATCCGCTGCTTAACTGGTTCGACTCATACCTAAACGGTCGAACTCAGGTCGTTAAAATCGGTCAGCAACATTCTACACCGAAGCCAATAACCAGCGGTGTCTTCCAAGGAAGTGTGCTCGGACCGCTACTTTTCTTAATCTATGTAAACAATATATGTGACCCAATCAAACATGGACATCAATTTCTGTTTGCAGATGATGTCAAACTGGTTTACTCATTTCATCCGGACCAACTACATATGTGTTTGAGAAACATCTGTGAAGACCTATCCGCACTAAATATAGCTAGTGAGCGCTTATTAATGAAGTTCTCCGCAGTGAAATCCCAAGTACTTGGGTACAGATGCCACATCTCAGAAGGCTCCATTATACTTGCCGGAAACGTGATCCCAACGTCTGAGTCAGTTCGGGACTTAGGAATTAGATACTCCAACTCTTTAAATTTCTCCGAACATGTTCTTTATCAGGTTGCGAAAGCGAGGCAGCTATGCGGATATATCACCAGAACTTTCTCCCTACCTGAAGTACGACTTGAATCATTCAAGACAATCGTACGACCGACTCTGGAGTATTGTACTATCCTTCACAGCCAATTGAGAAAGAAAGACAGAACGGCTCTAGAAAATGTCCAACGATCATTTACCAAACTGCTCATGGGACGCTGCTCCAAACCTGACTTATTATGATCGCTGTCGAAGACTGCAGCTGGATCCACTTTGGCTGAGACGCTTAAAAAACAACCTCGTTCTCTTCTACAACATTATAAACCAACGAATTTACGCAGACAGCACCGCACTTGAACTGCGGAAGACTGCAGTCTACCCCACACGTAATGGCGGCTACTTGATACGTACAAACCTTTCAAGTCATAAAATTCGATCGAATTTCTTCTTAGTGAGATACACTTATTTGTGGAACAAACTACCCCTACAGATACGCATGTGTACAAGCCATGTCACCTTTCGAAATCTCCTTCAGACCTTCCTCACTATACCAAATGCTCTGAAGATATTTGACTCACAGCAAACACTAGAAGCACTGACAGAAGTTGGTATAAAAAACATTTGATAATAGCTTACAGCTAGCTTACCCACTACACGTCATTACATACCATACCAAATCCTGTGTCTTTGCAGCCTAATAGTCCCTTCGTTTATTATCTACTCCTGACGATACAAACATCCGTAAATTTTACATATGAGTTGCGCGGGTCTAGGACTCAAGGAAAAGTAATCATGATCCGAAATGCTATTAGTAAACTTTTATTTAATGTTATGAAACGTGTTCACTATACACATGATCGCTCCCACTTATGGGGCCGTGTACCGTCCGTCGGTAAATATACAAATTTATTTATTTTATTTTATTTTCAAGATACGCAAACCACCTCATCACGTTAAGGACCAGTCTCGTTGCGATGGATACATGACACTAAGTGAAGTAATTTCAAAGTGACATGCCAGCATTAAGATGGTTGCCAAAGTAAATGAACAAAACAATTATATCCCCTAATACAGTGTTAAAAAAGGTGGTTTGCTGAGGAAACACGTCAAAAGTAAATAAATTTATGATCATTCTTGAGAAAGTCAAAAAATGAGTACAGTGTATTTTAGTCAAAAATTGCGGGGGGGGGGGCGGTTGCTACACTGCGCAACTTTGTAAAATTCTAGTTGGCAGCTAGGGGATGCTCTGGCCTCTCGGTGGCCGAAGGAGCCCGCACATACGAAGTGGTTAACGTAATAGTCCAATATCAGTCCGCTGACAACTGATGAACATTCCGAGGTCTCACCATTGGCCTGCACAAAAGCAGTGAAGGTGAGGTAGCTGCTCTATTGTGGTCACACTGAAGGCAACTTGTGAAAGTCTTCTAAGAGAGAACAGCTCAGAGAATCAAATTTACAAGCAAGTCTAATGACTGATGATACCGGTACTTTGTTCCATAACCATAGTCAATTGGTTACAATAACTCAGTATGCATGTTAGTTCTTTGTGATAAGTGGGCAACTGACGCTCCAAGAAAAACTAAAGCATTAGGACCGTATTATGTTAAAAACATTCTTCAGTACGTAATCGATTAAGGCGTAAAAAGGCAGCCTACCAAATGGGAGTTTAACAAGATAACACTCATCCTGAGGTGATTGCAACAAGTTCATCTATTTATGATCGTACCTACGTTAGGATATTTCTGAGGCGCACAAACCTAGACAGGCGAATGATTAAGATACCCAACAAAATTTTTCGTTCAAAAACCTGTCTGCAAGGCAGCCGCGAGATGGTAACATTGCGGTTTTTCAAAAATAGACGCCATCCCATTTTCAATTTTATCACGCAGAGCAAGGAGCATGAGTACGTTCAACCTCTAAGCAATAATTAATCTGGTAAAAACATCCCTCAAGAAGCCCGAGGGCATCATTCACAATAGCCCAAGTGGGTCGAAAAGATACGCGAACCACCGCACTACGTTCAGTTGTAATCCCGTCGACGACTAAGTTGGGTGCGGTCGATTCGTTTCGTCTCCGAGGCGGAAATCCGCGCAACCCTCCATGTGCTTCGCTCGAAAAGTTACAGGATATGGCTAGTAGTCGGCATCAGTGAGGCATCTGCTGTCATCTAATCTGAGTTAGCTGCAGAGTAATGACCGATTATAACGCGTGGCAGTGAAACATGCAAGGAAACTGACACACCAATGCACGGTAGTTAGCTGCTTGTGACCGTATGTTGCAGACAAAATGCAAGCGCTCTGACCCCGTTGAGGGCCATAAGGTTCTACACTAGGTCTTTCTTCGCCCCCCCCTCTTAACATTCTTTCTTTCGTAGATCATTGTGGTTGTACGATAGCAAAGCATCAGCTAAAATTATCATTGTAATATTGAAATTGCTTCTGATAGTGGTTGAAACAAACCGAAAAACATTGCAGTGGAGGTTAGGCCTGACCGGAGACAGCTACTTTATGGGAGTTAATTGGAAAGAAACGGGGCTGAACTAAAGACAAGTCACCAAATGAGTACGTGCCAAAGTCAGCAGGGGGGCTAAAGATTAGTAAGTAGAACCCATTTTAAAAGGACGTCGTTCAGTCGCGCGGAGAGCGTAGTAATTTAAAACACGGTTAGAGTGAGACATGGCACAAGCCCATTGCCTAACACAGACAAAAGGAACATAAAAGATATATTGAACAAAATTGCTGTTTATTCGCAGCTTACCTGGCACAACTGGTGAAAGAACAACTTGGACGAATGAAGTCAGCCACCATAGCCGATACATTGTGCGGGTAAAATAACAGGGTTGAATCCGAAAGAGAGCTAAAATATTTAGAAGATTTGTTTAGAGAACAGTAACAAATCAAGTGGCCGAGTAAAATAAAGTGTATGAAAATATAATCCCGTGTACCAGCATTATTAATAAGACCCACAATTTGGTTGCTGCTTGTTTCTCAGCGTCTTCACACTCCCCCCTTCATACTGATGTCACCGGTATATAGCAAAAAACTTGCTTATCATGCGAACTTTTCTTACCCTATTCGTCACGAGATTCGTACACACCGTGCAGTCGGCAGTTTATATGCACTGCTGAGTCGGAGCTCGATTCATTGCCCCGAAGTTCAAGTAGGAAATCCCGTGTGCTCCTTCTTGGATGGATTGTTGAGCCAGCAGCTGGTAAGGAGATTCAGAGTACCGAATAACAAGCTGGTCAACGAATTACAGTCCATATATCTAGGCAGTAGCAATTCGTCCTGGGTCGTTTACGTGGATTAGAAAAGAGGAAACAGTAAAAGCCAAAGAGAATACGAAAGAATATTGTTTTAATGAAGAAGGAATGGGGTGCGGGGATTATAGAACTTTGGAGGTTAAAGACAGGGGCAAGTCAGAAGGAGAAGGCTTGACGTCAGCAGCAAAAAGCAACTCACTGACGCTGAAAACCACCAACTATAGATTAATTAAGACATTCTTCAGAAACGAGTTCCAGCACTTGCTAACTTGGTGCAACGAGATCCTGTTTACATTTGGTCAGAGAACGGTTCGTGCAATTCCATGAGATGTCCATTTGTTAGGTTAGTTCAAATCTCCAGAAACAAACAGGTCATCGAATGAAGAGAAGCCCGTTCCATGTGTGAGTAAGCAAGCCAGGGTCCTGGTATTTCGATGTCCAATTGATTGTTCTTCTGTAAACATGAAAACGAGCGTAAGCAATTTTTGTAGAACAAAGGAGGGTGAACAAGGTACTGTCACTTGACCATGGGCCGCTAATACCAACGTCCACCAAACTTACGGCAACTCCGTAAACAGATGCGATCGATACTTGTCTAGGGCTGTTTTGAAGCTTGCTACTGTATCGTATTCAACCAAAGCAGAGAGAAGTTTATTTCAGCTACGCATTGCACGGTTAGTAAACAATTCTTCTCGGACACCTAGTTAGAACCTATTCTGCTTGAGTCTATGACGCTGTCGCAGTAGGTAGTCCGAAGTAGCTGGTTCAGACAACTCAACGGACTTAATGATGAGGGGGTTCCTCATCAGCTTGAACGCTTCCACCGGGTCTCCACATTCCTAGGATTCATAATTAGTAGGTCACCATGACTTTCATGTTGGCCTTCAATCATTTTGGCGAAAAGACTGCGCACTCTCCCTATGCCAGCAACATCTTTCTGGAGACATGGTGTTCCAGCCGATAGATAGTATTCCAACTGGAATGAAACCTTTGCTTTTCTTAATGGGAGAATATCGCAGGTTTAACACAGCACAGCGCTTTCTTGAAACGGAACAGCTCTTAACATGTCCTGTAAACGGCGTTTGTAGCGATTGTAAATAATTTGCTAATTTTTCATTTTTACGCTTACCTATTTCGTTGCAGTTGTACAGCTTTATTTTAATTAACTATATATACATACACTTGGTTTCGAGCTCGTCTTCCGTGGTTCTACCTTGGTTGCCGCTAGATTGATGTGATTGTGCGCATCGCTGCCTGCACCACTCACAATCGGACTCTACGTACACGTACACTTTGTCGTACCTCGCGATTTACGATCGTCCGACGTTTAGGCGCATCAGGATATTTTATATGTGAGGTAAACCTGACTGACTGAGTATTCTCCTTTGCCGGTTCCCCCATACGTTCCGACAAGGCCGAAGAGTTGCGACTATCCTTCACAATGACATGTCACATGCTTCGTCAAATCGCAGTAATGCCGGAAATAGGTGGATATTTATAGTATACGTTCATCACTGCTGAGTCAACAACTGAGATTCATTGGTGTTGAAGGTCAAGGCTGCCAGGAGGATAGGTTTTCTCGAGCGCGAACCAGCGGAACACGTGAATTGCGTTCACCAACCAGCTGTGCCGAAAATCCGAACGAACTGAGCCCAAGGTCAACGTGTCTTATGCCTAACGCACCGGAAGGATATCAATCAACAGACCAGTGTTGATTTGAAATCAGGACCCATGATCGAACGCCCATTCGGCTAGTGCAGGCTGTACAGTATGAATTCTTTCACGCGCGTTGGTTTACGTTCTGTTCTCGGAATAAACTAATGTTCGTCGTGTACTCGCCCTGCTCGTTCTTCATTACTGGGGATTGGCCTACGCTTTACTCTAGCAGTGTCCGACACAACAAAGGTCCATAGCGTCGACTGGAGCGGGACTTCGCAATCTGTGTGGAATCCATCTGATCCACGTTTAACATACATTACGCTTCAGACGTTTGACACTACAGCATGTTCCAAGTGGGGGTAAGTTCATGTTAGTTTCGTCCTCAGTGTTTCTGCGCGTGTTCGCGAGTCTACTTGATCCCCTGTATCATTACTCCCGACTCCACGTCTAACTAGTGATTTTGACCGTTCATTGTGAACCCTTCTCAGCTCGCTCGCTCACACACACATACAGGAGCGTATCACACTAGCATCTGAACTATGTGATCATCTGTCGTATAGACTATCATTCCAACTCCATCTCTTAGTCAGGAGCTTGAGCGACTGTCCACCCATAGAGTGAATATGTTTGATCCAACCTGCTAAACGCCGTACGCTTTATCTCGGATGACTGGTGAAGCGACGGTTTCGCGTGCATATTACTTTCGTCGCGTACGCAGATCTGGTCCTCTTCTCCAGGTACGACTGTTTCTGGACCGATGCCAAGTTCCGTATCATGCTCGAGCAGGTGTCTACTTATGGAAGCCAGCTGTCAGATTGATACGGCCTCTTCTCGTTCGTTTGAAAATCGAACACTTGTTCTACAAGAGGATAGAAATTCGAGAAGCGGACGTCCTTCTTAAACAGGACCAGACCCGATGATGACAGCCACGTGGGAATAGAAAAGCCAGACGAAGACCTCCGATTATGTTTAAAAATCCTCCGGTGTGGAGTCACATTTATTGCAGTGCATAGAAGCAACCGAATTGGATGTAATGCATCGAGTAGGACGATGTCCTATTGATCAACCAAGGGATAACGAGAGGGTAGGGCAAGAGTAACGGCGCTCGACAATATTCCATTCAGACACTCGACTTGACTACTAGCTTGTGGATGATTTGCGGTTGTTCCACTTGTCGGCCGGTGGCCGAGTGGTCTGCACGTTTGCTTTGCAACCATAAGGTCAGCGGTTCGAATCCGCGTATGGGTGGGCGTCCTCGTGGTATACTCAGCCCGCGCGCTACTGGTGGTGGTCGCGCGGCAGCGAAGCGCCGTTACGGCGTTCAGCTGACACATTTATTTACACTTGTCGCTATTCCTTTGTTTTGAAGAAAGCCACGTAGTTCACGTAACATAAAGGAGGAACATGTGTGAATAAATGTAGGCTGGCATACCAAACATCAAAAAGGAAGGAAGAAGTCGAATCAGAGCATACAAAAGCGAATAGAAAATGAGAAAACTCGTCCACCATAGTTAACAGATAGCGGTTTCGGGGGAAGGTCACTAAAATAAGCGTTGAGGCGTTCAAATGGCTGAGTTGCTTTTACCAGCTCACAATAGACAGCACAACTCAAAAGTACAGATTGGATTTCAGGCACAGAATGTAGCAGGTTTTTGGCGCAGACGAAATAAATCATGCGAGTTATGCCCGGGTGACACAGAGAATCATGGAGTTGGTTTAGGTTCCGACTGCCAAACGAGCTGCTGCAGCAGGTAGGTGAGAATTTGCCGGCACCATGATTGAACTTGCCAGGTCGGTATAGAACATTGTAGTGAAAAGAGGCAAGTTCAAGCCTTCGACGCTATAGTTCGTCGTTTCTAATTTTGTTCTGGTTCATACATATGTGCAGGAAAGGCACAGAAGGTTGATGTGACCAGCTTGAACTGACTACAAAGAAGCAGGTGTCGCCAACTTTGCACTGCCTCAACGATCCCGTAGGTTTCTTTTCCCACCGAGGAATGGCGCTTCTCAATGGAGCATAAGGTGGGAGAAAAGAAAGCTATCGGTCTTCCGTCTTGGTTTAAGGTAGCTGAGATATCTACATCAGAAGCAACAATGTCAACTGCTAACGGTACACGAGGGTCGGCAGTAGTAAGTACCACACCCTTCAGCTCCTCCTTCAATTCCCCAAAGGACTTCTGGACAGATGGTGGCATGGAAAATTGTGCGTTGTGAACGAGTAAGCCAATTTTATCAGAGAAGTGTGGTAAACACCGCCATCATCCCTGTGGAGATTGGATGTGTGATAGGAGACAATATTTGTAAAGGCCTCAATCAATCGGGGCCAGGCTAAATTATTCTGCTCGAAATTTCATATCCCAGGAGTTTGACCTGTTTGTCCTCAAGCACACTTGTTGTGTCAACGGAAGTGACGCCGTACGTTGAGGTGACGTTCAGAAAACAATCTAAGTTGTGTCGATGTTCAACAGGGTCTTTAGCACGAACCAGGATGTCAAGGCAGGCGCAGGTATGGACCAAACCTTGGAGAATATTTCGTTAATGCTCTAGCAGAATGCACACTTATTACGTCAAATTCAGAAAGAAAAGCAAAAAACGAAGCTTTAAGCGAACAGTTGATTTCGATTAATTCTTCGCCAGGCTTATACAATACACTCATACAATACTATACATTAGGGTAAGGTCTGTTGCAATCATCAGCATAACAAAGAAACAATTTAACTTGTGATCATGATGGCAGTCATCTGATCATGACTGAAGTCAGGTGGAGTTGCGGAGTGCCATCATTTCCTTCCCGTCTGGTGGTCGACCACGGAAGTTGTAGTGTTTGTATCATCTTCTTCTGGACACACAAGTCCGGGTTTGTCAGACGTATGCATACTGCCTCAGCGGTGGCAAGT